CATTGCTTCCTTCCTGTCAAAACCCAGTAGGGCCAAAAGTGGTCATCACAGCGGCCAAGCCCAGCTGCTACACCCCCCTGCTGAAGAGCAGGCTGATAATGTTCTCTTCAGCATGTTAGACATGAGCTATTAGAAGCCCAGGAATAGAGCCAGGCTCAGCTTTCCTACATGATCTATTTGTTTAACCTGGTGGGCCAGCTGTGGAAGTGAGGACATATTCTAATACTCAGTGGTGACATCTGAAACAAAGGGGAAGCTCCTATGTAAACTTTTAATTAAACCCTATTTGCAGGTGTTGTTGTGGCATGCAAATATTGTTATCTTATTAGAAATTATATGCTATAGGTACTTTAAAAGTATGTGGAAAAATTGAGAGTGTCTTTAGTAAAAGAGAATTTAAATGTTACCCAATAGATATAAAATTTAAGAAAAAATGAGTGATACAAAGCCACCTGGGTCAAGGGGTTCATGGTAAAATGTGGACATTTGCTCCTTAGGTGTCCAGTTCCAAACTGTGCAAAGGATATTAACTTCTAGTTACCATCTGTTAACATCAGTTGGATGAGTTTGTTCTGCCTGTAACATGGGCAAGTGCTTATCTTACTAACCTAGAAGTGGTGTAGATCTGCTCTGCCTGAGCAAATGACAGTCTTGTCCTTTTTGTGGCAACAGAAGTATGATAGGGGTTCCAGAGGGTGGGAAATTCCATGGAAACTTTTTTACTATGCCCTGAACTGTCTCTCTGTGTCATGTTAGAAGTCAGGACTTCCACTGTGACAGAAAGGAGGAGGCTTATTCACCATCTTTAGTTCCTACTCACTGTTACAGGGTGACTTCTTGGTCTGTGTAGTTTTCCCCTTATGCTTTTTTTTATCTTTTATTAACATGAAAAGGTGCATCAAGTGTTTTGATTTTGAAGCCAGGTGGGAGAATGCAGTTCAATTAAAGGATAGGTTATCTCTGTAGATATTCCTATTTAAATTTTGGGAGCATGTGGAGGCTTCTCTGAGATGCTCATCACTTAAGGTTGTTTCAAGGCACTGATGTATGGGTCAAGATCTTAATTAAACAGTAATTTAGGACACTAGTGAAACATCAGGGTTTAATTTACTATTTGTCTGCCTTTCTAAATACATAGACTAATTTTTTTTACCTCAAAATTTACTGTGTGATTTTATCAGTGCTGTAAACCACAGTGAAGTTTCTCATGTGAGTAATAATTTCATTGTTGGTCTCAACATCCTAGTTGTTCACGGAGCTGATTCAAGATACAAAGAGGTAGTGAACATAATTTTTTCTGCCTTAATGAAAATAACATCACTTCTGCTATGAAAAGGGAAGGCAGAAAGGTAGCAGAGTTGAGGTGGAAAGAAAGCAGAGGAGATCTGTCCTACCATGCCCATGAGGGGCGTGGGGAGTGACAGCAGTTGGGCTAGTTGTGGCTGCAGAAACAAGCTCAGTGTGAGCACCAGCCATACACCTTAACTCTTTGATGGCAGCAAGTCTGGCACCAGGATCATCATAGAGGTAAAGCAGGCCTGATCACTGACTTGCATTCAGCAGGAGATGACCTCAGGTAGTGCCTGATCTATCTGTGTCAGGAACTAAGTGTGATCATAGTGATCACCCTTCAGCTGCATCTCTGCAGCATGGCAGAGGTCTCCAGTGTGGTCTTTGGTTTTCCCACTCAGAACCAGGAACCACCCCTGATCATTAGGCAAATGAGCAATGCAGGAGCAACCTTAGAAACTCATAGTTTGACACTCTTGGCCTGACAGGACAAATGCATTTTAAGGGCAGTTTGCTGCACAATGACGTGTGCTGGTTGTGCTGGGCTTTGGTCACTCTGGGGGACAGCAGGAGCCAGGCCTAGCACCCCCTCACCCACAGAGATGTGGCCCTGGTGCTGGTGGCCCCCTGTGTGGCTGATGCCCCAGCCCTTGCCCTGGGGTGCCTGGGGGTCGCAGCACCCACTGCTGGGGTGATGGGCTGGCCTGTGTTACCATGGCAACTGGCAGATGGGGGCTTCAGCAGGGGCAGCGGGGAGGCAGCCGCGGCAGCACGCTGGCCGAGCTGCTCAACAACAGCCCTTTCAGCACTGACAGCTCCGCTCTGGCTGGCCAGAAGTAGTTATCAGATTACTTGTATTAAAACCTAATTAAGATGTGTGCCAGTAAATGCAGCATGATTATTGGATTTGGTGATTTAACTGCTGCAGGTTGCTGCAATCCAATCACGCCATTTCAGCAAATCCAGCTCTGTGGAGTAAAGTGAAAACGTTTTACATCAGTAACCTGACTATGCTGAAAGAGTAAATAACCTTTTAATGCCTCTACTATGTCAAGGACTGACTGATACCCACTGCAGGGTGACTGGGTACTGCCCACAGATCCTTGCATATTAATTTCCTTCAAATCAACATTAAAACCCAGAGGGGGGCTGACAGTTTATGTCAGCTTTTACCTTCATTGTGGATTGCCTGTGGATTAATGGGTCTGAGTCTCCCAGGACAGGGAGCTTGCAGCCTGAGTCCTGCGGGTGCTCCTGCTTTAGCTATGTGTTGTTATAGAAAAGAAAGCAGCTTTTGTTTTTATCTGTAGGCCACACATAAGGGGAAGTGTAACATGGTGGGTGCTAGTACAACTTAAGAGTGTTGGATGCAACAGAAGTTTATTCTGCAGGTGGAATTCACCTTGATGCCAAAGCTGTCCTTTGTGTTTGATATTTCACGTCATTTCTGCAGGGTCTTGCAGTGATTGTCTAGCTGTACCTGTCAAAGTGTAACAAAACCCTATCTATCACTTTTCCCTTCTTTTCTGGACAGCCTGGGGTATAGCCTAGTCTCAGATGCAAATTTCACTGCCATGTGAAGTCTTCTGCATGTTGTAATTGCACAAAAAAGCAGAGTAGTTTGGAGCCCTTCTAACATAAAGCTGCCTATGAGTTCCAGGTACTGAGAATCATAGCAAAACATTTACCTTGAAACTTTCACTGCGGCTTGTGATGCCTTGGTTGTGTTCTCTTTCTGTGGAACCACTCATCTCATGGAACTGTCTCCTGCCTCCATATAGAAATTGGGATTGGTTTGAAGTGGTTAATGGGAAATTATGTGAAGGATATTGTTATTACTACTGACTGGGAGCTTTCTCCTTAGTGCCAGGCTGTCCTGTGGATAGTTCAAACATGGTACCATGGTTCATGAGCTACATTTTCACCTTGTGCCTTGAAGTAATGTGACAGAGCATGGTGTCAGACCCTGTCCTCCAACACGGCCAGGCCAAGGGGGAGCAGCTGCATGCCATCCCAACTGGACAGATCTTGACACTTTGGTGGAAAAATGACCTCATTTAGGCAGGAGGGACACAGTGGTCACTAGATACTCAGGACACAGTACGTTTGCCTGGTAGGTGCTGTTGCCAAAGTGAACGTGGCGACCGTGCAACCTCCCTCACTCGTATTAGCAAAATGTGCAGAAGGTTCTGTCACCCAGTTGTAAAAATGATGGCAGGCATCGATGTGCAGTTGTAACATATGGGAAGTACAGTGAATGTGGGTGGAGCTGTTCATTTCTCATCTTGAATCATTTACGAGATCAGCAGGCAGGCCAGATACAATGCATATGGGAATGTGTGGCTGTGCTGCACATGTCACACGTAATAGCAGATACTGTGAGAGGGCCCAGAGCCTGTCCTCAGGAGCTAAACGTAGCAGAGCAGGCTGGGAGTCCCAGTGTGTGGACCAAGGGCCAGCTTGGCAGCAGTTTTGGGAGAGCAGACTGGCAGACAGAATTTGGGAATTCACAGATCCAGATCTGCATTGACTAGAACTGCACCCTTTTCATCCATTGTGGCCCAGAGTTGTAGATCAGTACGTTATTAAACCTGCAGTCAAGCACTGGAGATACAGATGATAAGGTTGTGGCCTGCTGGTCAAACCCAGCTCACTGCCTGTGTCATCTTTCTCCCTCTGCTCAAGGAGACAGTCTAAATATAACAATGGGTGGTGAAGTTACAAGCAGAAAAGTGTAATTGATTATTTCCATAATTAAAGACTTTTCCATTCACAGCAGTTTATTTGAAAGGACATAGAGCTTCACTATAGAGCACACTAGGCCTTGTGTCCAGTAATATTTTTGAAATTTGCATGGGCTACCTGTGATTATCTACTAAAAAATATTGTTCTGATGTAAAATTCACATTAGTTGGAAATTGCTTCTGACTGGATGCCAGGAGTAATAAACAGTCACTGGAGAAATAACAAGTGATACCTGCTTTTGTGATTAAAGAAATAAATGTGCAGTTGACCTGTCTTACCGCACTGTTGTCCCAACTCAGGCACATGTTCTTTCAGTGTAAGCAGAAAGCCTCTGCATGTTTCTTCTGATACCTGCCAGCTTTTCCCCTCTGTTTTGCAGCCCCTGATGAGGAGGGACTTTGGAATGATGGACTCTTTACATCTTTCCCCAGGAATCCCTGTTAGACTGTTAAAGGATCTATGCTGACATGCTTAATTAACACTAAGCTTACTTGAAATAAGTGCTATGTTCTGTAATGAGTTTTGGACATTGACCAGCTTGCAAAGAGCAGTGGATAGAAAACAGAAGTTTTTGTCATTTCAGGTCCAGTTTGTCAGGGAATTTGGGCATTTGGTTTTATAATCTGGGCTACTGCATGTGTTTCAAGAAGACAGTTACAGAAGCAGATACAGAGTGTGCAGCTTGCTTAGCTACAGGTGTTGGGATACACTCCTGCAATCTTTACTGATATCACAGCAAAGCAAATTTGCTGTCATGTCCTCATAAAGCTTCTAAATTAAAAGTGCAGACCTTTAAAGTGCTAATTTAAAGTGTGAAAATACATTTAAAGCCCATCCTAGGAGTAATACTTTAGTCTCAGCCCAACCACCAGCCTGATCTGCCACCACCAGTGCAAAGATCAAAGCTTTTTCCATGAACTCCAACTTCAGATGCTGTGCAACCCTTTTATCTATTTCTTTTCCAGGTTAAAGCAGCTTGACAAGCACTGCCAGGCCACTGCCCAGCAGTTAGTGGAGTTGCTCAACAAACAGAATCAGCTCTTCAAAGAGAAGCACCTGCTTACAGAAGAGGTGCAGTTTCTGAGAACACAGGTACTGTGCCAAAAGAAAAGAAAGTCTAAGGGGAACACTCTGCAGGTTTAGCAGAGAAATCTGCCAGCAGTCTGATTTCAACTGCTGGATTTTGTTGCTGTTGTTCTTTTAAATACAGCATTACCTTATAAAAAATAAAATAAAAATTCACACAATTGGAAAGGTAGCTGAACCTGACTCTCACTTAAATCAAAACTAAATGAAAAAAAGTGTTTTGAAGTGACAATAAAAAAGCAGAAGTTATTCTCAATGACAGTTCTTAACTTCTTAACTGAAGGTTTTTGTGTTGCTTTTTCAGAGAAAAGGGAAATCTGTTCTTTAACATCATTAATGTTTAAATAGTTACTTGACATTGATAATTGCTTAGAGGTTTTACTGCCATTTGTCAGACTAAAGTCCTTCTATCACTTAATGATTTTTTTCTCTTTATTTTTAAAAGTTTTTTTTTTTTTGCTGCTCAATGACCACTCATGGTAAGACTCTTGGGTTTGTCCTGTGCAGAGCCACTAGTTGAGCTTTGATGATCCCAGTGGGTCTCTTTCAACTCAAGATATTCTGTGATTCATGCACCCAGATGTGAGATGGTAAAGGTACAATCAGTCTTGCCTGAGCAATCATCACATCTCTGCTTCTCCAGCAGTTCTGATTGTTGCTTCCAGTGGTCCCTAGGAAGCTGTGGCTTCTTATGGGCTGTTCTGGCTTTTTTTGTTTTGGCCACTGTTCTTTGGCCAGTAAGTGCTTTGGAAATAAGGGAGAAGACTGCAGGGCTGGGTTTTTTCTTTTTTCTTCTTTCGCTTTTTTTTCAGAAAAAGGAAGAGAACTAACAAGCATAGAATGAGGTTTTCAGTAAAACTATCAGATAATCAAACTCAAGGTTGAATTAGTGTATTTACTTAGTTACAAAGCAAATTACAATGCTTTCTAACTTTCAAAGTTGTGAGTTTGCCCAGGATAGTTGGAGTTTGCTTAACATGGTAACAAAGGACATTCAGTGTAGGAAATTTAGTCTAGTAGCACACCTAACAGTAAACAGAACATGAATTGGCTTAGAACTTTAAAGTACTTAAATCATACTATTTTTGTAGTCTTTTTATCTGTAGAAGTCAGTAAATGTTTAACCTAGGAGAATAAAATCCATACTTTGTTAAGCCCCTAATCATGTCCATGTGTTCAGCTTTACAGGACTTCCTGTTCTAGTAGACAAACTCGGTGGCTTATGGCAGTGTATGGTTATCAGCATGTAGTAACTACTGGCAAATTTTAGGGCAACCATAGTGTTCTCTCTATAAGAGAGGTTCAGGAGGTGGTTGTTCCCAAAATAAATTAAAATTCCTGCTTTCAGAAAAGCACTCTTGGTAATGTGAACAGCCTTTACAAGGTCCACAGGGATTTTGTTATTGATAATCTATTTTATCTGGAAGTGATTGTGTTTTTATGGAGTTGGGCAGAAGTACAAAAATCATACAAAAGAGGAAAAAATCATTCAAATACTAAAATTCCTATCAATACTTGACTGGCAAAAGCTGCCTTCTTTATGTTCATTACAAGTTAATTGTGCTCCAGAGGACACTTTTTAAGTTGAGAACAGTCAGAAAAGAAGAATGATAGAAAAAATTATTACAGAATGAGTCCTAAAAATCTATGTGCAGATATTTAAAGCAATGGTGGTTCTCTGGGAACTGGAATTCAGCCCAAAAGTGCTGCTTGGAATATCAGACAATTGGTTTAAGGAAACTGAAGAACAGTTCACCATAAATGGAAGCTCTTTGCAGAAAGATTGGCTTTAGTTAGTATAGAAATACTGAAACCAAACAACTGCATAGTTAATGTTGATCAAAGGTTAAAGTGACCTCATATTCCACATTTTACTATATTGTCCAACAATACAGTAAAATACAGTTTATAATTAACAAAGTTTTTGGAGGTTCTTTTGTGGGGAGGGGAGGTGGAAGCCTCAGCCATACCTAATCTTTTAAAGATTATGTAAAATACACTAAGCTAAATGTGCTATTGTATCTTGGAACATGAGCCTGTAGTAACTGCAGTTGCATATTTCAGGGAAAAAAATGGGATGCAGATCTCAAACAGGACACAGATGGAATGAAGTAAAAACCTGGATGAATAAAGAGAAATGAGCAGAAGTAGGTATTTTTTTTCTATATCCTATATATAGAGTGGGGGGAGAGGAAAGGAGAGCACGACTAAAACTATTTGCAGATGTGAGTTGAATCTGGCAAACACTTAAAAGACAAAAGGAAGAAGGAAGTGTTTGAAACATTTTTGGATTTGAAACTGTTGAAGCTTTTTGTGCTTTGATTTTTTCTCTTTAAGCACTTAAAAATTTAAGGACAAGCACTCAATAGCAAATACAAGTTTACCTAATAGAATTTATTTTAAAAAATCCTAAATATGTAAGTTGAAGGGAAAGGGGGATGTACAACCCTTACCTAGGTGGGAACTTCCGGAAGATCTCAGATTTAAGCCAGGTACTTTTTGTCTGGATAGTCACTAGGCATTTGTCTTTTGATTGGAATGCTTAGTTTTGTTGCTTCCAGTATTTTCTGTCTGAGGAAGCTTGAATCATCCCTATCTCTTCAGAAAGGCTGCAAATGGTTTTGTAATAAATCATAACAGCTATTGTCACATTGAAAGAAACATTATCTTGATATTTGTATTTGGAGCAGTGCTGTCATGTTACAGTAGTGCAACATAGCTATAGGTGTTCCTACTGCCTTGTAAGAGTTACTAAACTTTTAAAGTTTAAAGAATTTAAAATTGCATCATTTACTTGAATCTAGCTGACCTACTCAACAAACCTAATAAGCCCTGAGCCTTGATAGGATTTGTTTTCAAAAGTCATATTACTTCCACTGTAGTTTTTTATTTCTAGTGTTACATGTTTTTTAACACATTTCTAGTGTTACATGTATGGGGGGAAGACAGCAGAAAGAAAAAAAAAAGGTCTTTCAATTCAGCTACATTCTGGTGTGTTGAGAGCATGTTTTTCTTGGAAAACTCATTTGATACTGTAAGGAAAATTCAGGGTTTTAAAGGAAAAAAAATAATAAAAGAAGTACCTGATCCTGCTGTAATGCTGCATTCCTTTACAGGCTACATGAGCATATTCAGGACCTTGTAAAGGTAATCAAATTTTAATTATGGGATTTACACCTCTCATTTTGAAAGTTTTTGTAACACTCAGGTTTGGAATGTTTACCTTTGAAAGTCTCTTGTATAGTGGAATTCACCCTAAGGCAGGAGGATACAGGTATTTAATTACCTTTGTACATAGGTATGAAATAGAGAATACTGAATAAATGTGCACAGAAAGCAAACAAACATCTAAACAGAGATTGCTGGAAACCTCAGCACCCCCCACCAGGCATGAGTGTATCTGTGAGAGCTGGGATGCCTCTCTCTTGCAGGATCTGCCTTGGTGTCCATCAGTTTGACAGAAATCAGTATTTGTCCCGGTGGATAATCCCCTCACAGCCCCCGGCTGCCAGAAGGGGTTGCTGGCCAGCTGAGCCAGTGAGAGCACAGACGGGTAGGATTTGGACCTTGAGGATTACTTCCAGCGAGGGCTGTCTTCCTGTGCTGCTGCTCTGACTTCCCATGAAGATCTCCTCCTGCAAGCCAGCCTCTCCCTGGCCAGGAACCTGCACCCTCCCTGTGCTCTCTGTATGGCTGAGCCACTAAAGCTCTCTCCTCCCTCCCTGCAGATGTCTGTTGTCACAGTGAGCGTGTCTGTGAGCTGATCACCCTCCTTCTAAAAGGAAGTTAAAGTACTCACCCGCGCCTGTGCTCCCATCCTCACCCCAGTCACTCAGCAGGAGGCACTGTCAGAATTACAGCTGGTCTGGAGCAGGGGTTTTCTTTCCTTTCTTGTGTCAGCAGGAATTTTCAGTGAGACCCCAGTGGTTAATGCAGCAGTGTTCCCAAGTGCTCTGTTTGCTTTTTATTTATTATTTATTACAGAAGGGGGAGCCTTATTTCCAGCAAACAGGTAGGTCATCCATCTCTGCTGTCAAAAGTGATTCAAGCTGATCCTTACATGGCTTTCAACCTCAGGAGACCTGAAGATTGCTTTGGTTATTAGGAGAGAGCTTTTGTTTTAGTGTAGTCTTACTGCATAAAGATGGTGTCTCTGCCAGGTGCTTTTAACAACCAATGACAGTCCACAGATGGAGTTGGTGGATGTTGTGGCTTTTTTTAAGCAGATGAAAATCTTCACTTCTGCTTGGATGGAGTTTAATGTGAAGTGATGCAAGTTAAACCATGACAGGAAGGGATAAAGATAGACCTCTGTTTGATGTCTGACTGCCCTGACATGAGGCTTCAAGTATTCAGCTCCTCAGTGTTTGTGCATCTGCAGCTGTGGGAGTCCTGTACGTCCTGTCCCGTGCCTGGCTACTGGACAAAGCTGGGCACCAGCTGAGAAGTTGAGCCTGGCCCTGCTGGGAGTTCCACCTTGGGTTTTACAGCCATGCAATGGAGGATTGAGGCACTGAAGCCACCTGAGTGCTTTCTAATCAAACAGAAAGTCAGTTGTTCTTCCCTCCTCCCATATTGCTGGCAGGAATAAAATAAACCAGTCAGGCATCTGTAGTTCCCCTCCTACAAACCCTTCCAACGTGTACATCTAATACCCAACCAGCCCTTTAAAACAGATGCCACTGAGCTAAGGAGAGAGTGTCCAGAGGAACCTGGGCACTGTGTGCTGCAATGTTCTGTGCACTGAAAAACCAAAATATTCTAGGGAGGAGGAGAAACTAAGACTGGAAAGGCCCTTACCCTGACTGTCCAGTAACTAACTCGTTTACCAATTATCTGAATGTGACAGTTGTGCCCATTTTGTTAGAGAACAGCACACCTTAAATGACAGCTTTAGTACTTGGGCCCTGGGTCAGTGGGGTACAGAGACTCTGACAGGATTGGTGCTTGCTTTGTGAAGAGGTTCAGGCCAGGCTGGAGTCAGATTTGCCAACTTCATCAATCAGGCTGAGGTTCTGCATCTCACAAAGCATTAGCACTGGGAAATTGTGATGTGGAAGGACAGTCACAGCAGAAATTTCCAGGAATTCAACTTCTTCAGGAGTTGAGGTTTTGGGATCCTTTTAAGCTTCTGCCCGTACTCTAATGCTGAGGGTCACTGCAGCACAGAGTATGTTTCCTCTGGTTGTCACTACCCAGGCACTTGGGTAGTGGAATGGAATTTAAGCCCTAAGGCTTTGCATTGCCACAGTTCCTTGCACTGGTCGCAAACACAACTGTAGCAGTTGATGTTGGTGCACGCATTTTGGGGGGAAAAACCACCATGTTACTGTTTTTCATTCTTTAGTGAACTGCAACTTTATGAATTTTCTTTAATTCAGCCTAACCAACCAAGGGGGGAAGGAAAAAAAAACAAAACCCTTCAGTCTTCTAATGCAAAACCAGCCAAAGTAGAAAGTTTATTTTTATTTCTGAGGTCATGTACATCTCTTAAATTCAGTTTTTAGTACTGCAGTGGCTTAATTCGAGGTAGCTCCCCCAGCTCCAATAGTTTGATGTCTTGCTCAATTCAATCCTTAAGTGCTACCGAGGAAGCACAAACAACAGCTATGCAAGAGCTTCAAAACTGCAAATTAGCCTTCCCACCAGAAGTTTCCTACTGACACCAAGGCAACAGTTTCCTGTTTTGCTACAGCTGCCCACCCCAGACACACGCTGAACACTGCACAGTAAACACCCTCTGGCAAAACCCTGCCATCTTCTTCTTGGAAGGGAGAAGGGACAGGATCTTAGGCGTGCCCCAAAACAAGAGCTCACTTGTTTACTGCTAAACAGGAGCCATGTCAAAAGCTCATGGAGATCCTGTTTTTCAGAAATCAGATATCTCTTGTTCTTGCTACCTGTAAGACTTTTGAGCTTAGAAAGAGGTGAGGACAGCAGGCCCACAGGAAGTGCAGGCTTTGAAACTGTACTTGTTTACTCTGCCTTACTGCAGTTATAACCAGTTTTTATTTCTCTTCTAAGAACTTGCCTGCAGGCTGACATGACACAAATGAGAAACACAGGCACTGCCATACAGACTACCCATCTCTTCCTTTTATCTTTCAGGTCTGCTCTGCACCTGGCTGAAACTTGTCTGAGGCTCACCCAAAGACACCTCTGCAGAAAACAGGCACACTTGCTAGCTAATTTCAGCTGGTTTCTATTTGGTTTTAACTACAGAATCACAAATATTTTGAAGCCTTACCAGCCTACCAAACTTTCTAGGATGACAGCTGAGACTTTTCTGAAAAGACTAGGCTTGCAAGCCAGTTTTAACAGCTATTATGTGGTGTGGATGTCAATAATTTGTACAATGTTTATAAAATGTTTTTATCTATTTTCATAATTGAACATACATGTCTATATTATTTACAGACTGAAATACCAATAAACCTAATAGGTTCTCTAGGTTCCTTGTTCTGTCCTGAATTCAAGGGAAAGCATGTGCAGGGGGAGGAGGGAGAAGGGGGCTGTTTGCAAGTGCTGCACACGTACACTGCCCTCCTTTTTACAAACTCAGTACCAGAAAATACCTGGGAACTTTATTCAACAGGATATTTGTCACTTTCATATAAAAAGTGAGAGCCCCAACAAGTACTTACTAATCAGAAAAGCGTGAGAAGATTGAGAAATATTCCATCTAATGTGGAGGAATTTCCATGGGTCAGGTTCCCCTTTAAAACATTCACTGAGCAAGGCCTTTAAGAGAACAGAGCCCTTGATTATTACAGAGGAGCCATTACAAGAGGTGATGGGCTCCACACTGAAGTGGTGAAACTGGACTTTTGCACCAGCACATAGTCAGGGCACCAGCTGAACTTGGCTTCAAATTATTGAACTGAGAACACTTGGAGGGTACAGGTGGAGGGCATTTTTTTCTGGTTAACTGTGCACTCATGTTTTTCAAGGTTACTTTTCAAATACCCAACTGTTTTAGAAAGAATTTATCTGAGTATTTTGCTATCTAGTGTAGGATAAGCTACACACACAAGAGAAAAGTTTCTACATCTATTGTTTTCAATGTAGTTGGTAAAGGGGGTGAAAAAAGCGCAAAGAACAGTTCCCCAGCAATAAAGCTACTTCAGCCAGCATGAACACAGAAAACATAACAAAAATAAGAGTAACAACACATGCAATAAATTACCATTGGGTGTGGAACACAATCCTTCCTTCCCTTATATTTTAAGAATTATTAGTGGTACAGCCCTAACATCAAAGTGATTTTTCCTCCCTATTTCAATTTCCTGCCATATAAAACTGCCAAACACATCTGAGCGCCTCCCTGAACAGCTTCACAGATACGATACTGAGCATGCTGAGAAAGGCCCCAGGTCTTCAGGGAGAAGAAAGGCTGCTGAAGGAAAGCCCTCTCTAGTCAAACTCAAGATTTTTCACAGTAGTCAGGCTGACAGCTTTTTACGTGTCACTACTTTATAGATGGTTACACAGTTAAGAATATATATTTATAAATGTAGGAAACACAAACTTTATTTTTTATTATTCCACAGCATAAACCTGTGTTTAAATAGGAGACAGCGCCTATAGGCTACGTGTGCAAAGAAACTTGGGCACCTATACCTGACACTTAGGCTTCACTGAGACCCTGGAGCACATCGGGACCCTCAACCTTTCTGGACTTGCCTCACCTACCAGGTGGCTGCTGGTGGCCACATGCAGGGCCCCACTGCCAGTCACCCACGTGCATGTACGAGTCTGGTTTCAACAAAGGGTCCTGGGCTGCCAGTATATATAGCTCAAAGTGGGTTTTTCATACTCAGCCCAGGCATAGGTGCAACTATTGTGTTGCTGGGAGTCTGCAAGGGATAACTTCCCCTGCAGCAGTTACTCTACTTTGTAGCAATTAATAAGTCATTACAGCACCAGGCCTACCTGTCTCATATCCCTCCCCACCTTCCCCTGCATCTACTTAAGCACTAAATGCTTGGTTTTACAAATTTTACAAGTATCAGACCCGATGATCAAATCCAGGTCAGCACAGAGAGTGTGATTCCACAACACAGGATGCAGCCTGACCAGATAGTGCTGTCACTGCTGCAGTTTTGTCCTGGTCACTGACATCCTGATGCCACTGAACTAATGGATGGCTGTCTCCCTGAAGCTCTTTCCTGTTATAAGGTGGGAGAGGAGAAAAAAAGGAGGGAAAAAAGAAAGGAAAAAACCTGAGACCTGGATGAAGCACCTCTATTCCTGAGAAGCATTCACGTCAGAGAACAGAAAACCCGGATGACCCACTGCTTTAGAGACACTCAGCCCTCCAGACTGGCTGCTTCAAACAGCCCTGGACCAGCCCGTGGGCTTCAAAGAGTCCCATTCTACAGTGCCCTGCAAATCCCACCTTTCCTTTCTTCCATCTCCTTGCCCAAACATTGTCTAGCTGTGGGATGTGAGGCCAAGAATTTCATCAGCTGAAAATCACTAAATGGTGGATGTTCTGATAGGAGCATATCTTCAAAAGTATAACCCAAAATTATAAGTGACATACATCTCACAGAGTTAACAGGAATCATCTGTATGGAAACAGCCTCGGTCCACAGCACAGATACATTTTGCTTAGTCATAAAAACTTTTTTTTGACAATACTGTAACTTAATCATTTACAAGCTGAAACTGTTCACCCAGTATCTGAAATATGTCACAGCGAGTTACAGTTATCACTAGGACTTCACAGCAAATAAAACTTGTAACTAAACATGCACAGATCATTATATATACAGTGATAAAAAAATAATGATGTACATTTTCTTGTAAGAAGAAATTAAGTAAATTCTTTGTGCATTTCAGGATTGAAACATCTAACCTATATAAAATTACTTTAAAATATGAAGTAAATATTTAACCCAAAACTTGAGAAATCTTTTGTAATCTGCAATATAGCCTTCTTATTTCCATTTTTCTTTCTCTGACACAGGACAACTTAAGAATTTTATCCTCTAAGATATTTAATAGTAATGTGCAGGTATAAAAAAATACGTCCTCTGTGGCAAGCTTGAACATATATATATATATATTTACAATCCTCCAGAACAAATTAGCATTAAAAAACACAGAAGTAGCAGATTGACATAGTGCTTTATTTAAGCTGTCTGTACGAAGGAAAATAATGTGCATCCCTATCATATACGTGTAAAAATACTAAGGATGTACAGTGTACAAAAACAGTTTCTTGTAGTTATTTCACATCCTTGTGGGTCATATACTTAAGGAAATAAACAGTTTAAGTATGACCAACAGTAATACGGTTTCTTGGGTTCGTAGTCGTGTCTGCTTGATATCCTTAACCATATGACTAGATCTTGCATGGATCTAATGAAAGAACTAGCAAGGTCAAGAAATGTCACAAACTCTAAAGCTACAGGGAGGTAATTCAATTACCAATTTAGAGGTTTTTATTTAAATAAATACTTTACATTTCATGCTTGCCTGTAATGCACTACCAGGAGCAAGATAAGGAAATTCTACTGTAGACAGTACAAACAGTAGCAGCAAAGTGTGTACATTGAGGTGTAATATATAGACCCTGCAGTTAGTAAGGAAAGACCTTACTTTTGTACTCTAGGAGAAGCACATGGCCCCTGCAAGAACAGTCAGCTTTAAGAAGCCACAAGTAAAGATGGAAAAAAAAGGTGAAACAATACTGGAATAAATGTTCTTTAAGCAACGGGAATGTACTGGAAGATGGATTAGTGTGGAAAGCGAAGCTGTGTGCAAAACTGCCAAAATCCAAACAGAATTGACCTATTTCCTCCGAGATGGCTGCAGTACAAGAGGGCATACTGTATGTCATGGAAGTCAGTACAAGCTGGAGTCAAGGTCTGAAATGTACTGTGCTCAAAAGGCTCACCAAGACAACCAGCCACCATCTCCTGTCCAAATTCAAACACAACCGCAGACAGCAAAAGAAGAGCTTCTAAAGTTTCCCTCAGCACTGCTTGTCCATTTCTCTGTCATCTGTTTCTAACACTGGTAAGACAGAATCCCCTGGGCCTGGGCAGCACAAGGTGGCTGCCAACTCTGCATCATAAACTGGATCACTGACGTTTCAGAAGGCAGACACTGCAATGCAAAGTGATGTCTGAAAAGGTTTACAAATAGTTCACTGCCAGGCCCCTCCTGCAAACCACACACTACCTGGCTACGCAATGGAGAGCAAAGCACAGGGCATCACTGCCACGAGGAGCTGCTGGCCAGTGCCACAGCCAGTTGGCCACTGGCTGGAGGGGCCCTGTGCCAAGAAACTTATTGCTATGACAAGCTGAAAACATAGGGGAGAAAACACAGGCATGTAACACAGATTTTGAATCACCATAGTTTCAGTCTGAGTACAAGACCTTTGCAGAGAACTAATTAATGCCCTTCTGTTAAGTACTTGGTTATTTCAGTCACTCGCTCACTGTGGCAGTGTAGACACCTCTACACCGCCAGACCTGCAATGCATTTGCTGCTCTCCTCTCCCTCCGCACAGGGACAACATCTACACGTCTTTAGTGTTACAGGGTGACATACTGAAATCCTATGCAGTTAGAGTATACATCATGATATATTTCTATCTGATTATCCATCCATTACTAAAGATAAAACATTAAACATGAAAAATTGTCTAAATTACTCTGCGTCTTTAGCTGCCTTGCTAAAATGCCCGTCTACCCCTTGACCATCCCAGCACATGCACTGCCAGCAGTGGGCTTCATGCTTGGGCACTCAACTTTCCACATCAAGAGGCTAAGGCATCTGTGTAGGAACATCTCTCAGACTCATCTACTCACTCACACAATGCAACCAGGAATACTCTGCAATATCACAGTCTTTGTGGGAGCTAACAAGAGCTGAACGCAGAGATACTTCCAATGATAATCCCACGGAGTCGGGGGTTCCCGATGTCGCCTGCAAGGCTGCGCGCGCTCTGCCGCTGCGCCTCGTCACGCCCCAGCTCCTAGCACCAAAGGGTTTATTATTAAGATTATCATTGCTGAAGATCAAAGCTAAAGTTTCTGCACATGGTCTGTTAGATACAGATCTTCGGAAATGGAAAGACGTTTCCCTAGTGGAGCGTTTGCTGTGACATTTGAAATTCAGTCAATCAGGTACCACGGTTACACATAACCTCCTGGGTTTTAGGACTCTTTTGGTTGAGGGCAAATCTTCCTTGAGAACGGCTGATCCCAGAAATTTACTATTTTAATTGTTAAAATAAAGTGCTTTTCTTGTAATCACTGTGGTCTAGTTGTTCAAATGCAATTCCTTCATATAGAACAGACATTTTCTCTTGTGCTGCCAGGCTCTTGCATTATGTTTATCCTAAATGGAGCACAAGATGTAGCTTTTTTGTCTGTTCACTTTTAACCTTTTGGCACATGAGGTGGGAAATCCTCACCTCCACTGCCAAACTGTTAAAAGACAGTATTTCATTCACAAAAATCTGGTTCTAAGCAGTATGTACAATTTCAGAGCCTTGTTAAAATTTCCACATGGGAGAAAAGTGCATTATTCCCTTCAGCTTGTACAGTCCTTCCATATATTACAAAATTAACTGCTATTAGCCTGTTCTAAGATGTAGCAGCATTTGCAAACATGACATATACAAACCTTATCTCTAAAAATAAATACTACCGCAGTATAACAAAAAAAAAAAATTAAAAAAAAATCGGAGTTAAACACCTGGAGAGGAAGCTAATTCACAAACTCAAAAACAAGTAAGGCAAACACCTGTTTACCTTGGTGCACACATTTTGGTGAAAAGCAATACCATTATGCCTGTCTACATTCTTCAGCCATCAGAGGTGATGCATATCATGAAAGAGAAAAGCATGAAAAAGATGTTATCTGGTGCAAATTATAAAACCCCTTGAACAACTTCAACTGCTGCTTTTATGCCTTCATTTCTTGCATGTATAATGTTCGATTCTCCATGATTGCACATGAACCTGGAAGTTCTAAGTGGCAGGCTGGGTGAGCCCAGCCCTTCTGCTTCTTCTGTAGTATCCAACAGTAATTAAAAAATAATATATATATATATATTTATATATATCAACAATTTAAGTCCTTCTCTCAAACATTTCCCAAACAAATTCCAGCCAGATGTTAATGACAGAGACCTGCTTCAAGTAATGATATGCCTAACAGAAACCTTGCATATGTACATCACCACCTCTACGTTTCCTCATTCTAACCAGCACAAACAGATGCAAGAAAATGTTATCGCCTGGTCTGTTTAGACTAATTACAATTTTGATTCATCTTCTGGAAGAAGATAAGCTGGACCGACACAGCTTTTGTTTAGCCTCCACTGTGAGGAAAAATAGATGACTACTTGTTCACAAAGTGTACAATGCTGAAGTCAAGTCATTTACCTTCAAAGAAACTGTTAGTAACTTCTTGATGTTGCTATTATACTGAGACTGTGGGCAGCAGCAACAGCAGGAGAGCGGAGTAGAGAGAATCTCATATGTCATGCAAAACCAGAACGGATTTTAGGTAGGTTTGGGAAAGAAACTTGTTCAATTTGGAATGGTCTCTGAAAGTGCCCCTGCTATCTTAGTAGTATCTAGTACTGGTGGTGATGTTCAGGAATCATTTTCACTGATAAACCTAAGATGACAGTGAAGCAGCAGTACAAAAGAGTTACTCTCGTCCACTTGCAGAGTAGGAAAATTGGGGGAAATGCGGCCGCCTCTCATTGTCCATGCAGTCCATACCATCCTCGTCATCTGTGTTAAGGAAGAAGTTCAAAACATCAGTACATTTGCAATAAAATTTTATTATTCACCTGATAAGCAGTAGATCTTTTAGGGTTCAATGCTTAGGTTAAAGCAAGACTTCAGTTAAGCTCGTAAGCTAAAGTTAAAGCAAGACTTCAGTTAAGCTCGTAAGCTTACGTTCACACAGCAGGACAATTCTCACTGAAAGGACAGCATGCCCAGAAGTCACCTTTTAGTTCAGGTTGATTGTTTGGTTCATTTTATTCTGACTATCACCTAAGAACTTCAACCACAACTACAACCCCTTGTAGGCTAATCCCAACATGCCAGCGGCCTCTGGCAGTGCAGAAGCCAAGTGCCAATTGAGTCAGCCAGTTTCCATCATTTCTTGAGCTGAGCTCAGGAAATTATATTCTTACTGTAGACATACTTAAATATTCCTCAATTTCAAAGGGAGTTAAAAGGAAAAACAGCTACAAAATGAACAATTCACACAGGTTCTATGTGTTTCAATTATTACCTATTATTTTTAGTAAACTATTTATTTTTACAGTATTTGCTGGGATCAGAAGAAATACAGAATAAGCCAAATTCATAAATATTTTTATTTACATAATTCCTCCAGTGCCAATGGAAAGCAGGCACCAGATGTTACCTAACTCTGAGAATTTGGATGTACATTCTCACATGGCTTTTTAACAGTGCTTATTCTTAAAGACTCCTGCTGAGACTGTTATTCTAACAATGTATTTATATGCAGCCTTTCAGAATTTTGTGTTCTTTGCATTTTCATATATTCTACACATAAAAGTTAGAGTTAATCCTGGTCTAATATTGAATCAATGGAACCCAAATTTATCCAAACATTCGTAAAATTTGTTCAAGTTACAAAGATGAACAAATTCTTATCAAGATAGACAGGAGAAGAATATGTTCTTTTTTCACAGCAGAAAGATTTAAAATCACTTAAATTATGGACTGTGAGCAACATGGTTTAGTGGAAAGTGCCCCTGCCCAAGGCAGGAGGATTGGAACCAGATGAACTTTAAGGTCCCTTCTAACTCAAACCACTCTATGTTTCTGTGATTGTGTTCAGACACTAAAATGCAAAATCAAAAAAATACTCTAGATCTATATATGAACAGAAAACTGCAGCTAACCTGGGAGTTCTAAAACATCAGAAAATGAGATTGGTTTATGAAAGGTTAAGCAACCATAACTAAGCCTTTACTTTTGTGATCCTCCTTTCTCAGCCTTCAATACAAAGAAACAAACAAAATCATCAAATATCCCCATTTAGAAAGAAAATCCTTTAAGAACTCAGGAGAAAGATGTTATTTAGTAAGTACCTGTAAAGCCCTGGCTAGGCTGATCAGATCATGATTCTTGTGTGTAATGCAACATGACAAAAACACAAATCATGGTGAAATCACATTCCCTCCCATAAAGAAATTTTGTAAGGTCCAGTGCCATGGTTACATTCACATTAACACCTTCTTTAAGAGCTCTGTTGAAGCATGGGACTTGATAGGACATTTAATTTTCACATAATTGATTTTTTTCAAATCATAGTCCTCAAAGTATTTCAAAATAAGACACTAGCACAGTCCACATGCTTAAAGAAGGGTCCATGTTCCAATTACTTTGCTGAACTGGGACCTTGACTGCCAGCCAGTAACCACTTGAAGCTGGTGTCTTCTTTTATTTAAAAACAAACAAACAAAACCCCAAATCAATAAACAAATGAAAAACTCTCCAAACAGAATCAACACAAGAATGCCCACACCAAAAATGCCCCCAAAACCCAACTCAGAGTGATCTAATATTCTAAGGTTTGTAATTATTGCATCTTCAAAATAAAGCTGTCATTGAGAGTTACTCTCACACACTTCCATATGAAGACTTTTATTAATAACACTGAGAACAGCTCTTCTATTAAAACAGAAAAAACCTTACACACTGCTTTATTAGAAACATTATTGTTACATCCTGCTTATGCATTTTTTCTGACTTACATTTTTCAGGCGGTGTTATTGTAATAGTCTGAGCTGTAAATTCTTCATCAAAATACCTGGTGTCTGTCTCAGATGTCACTTGAGGTTTAAAAGGAGGTACAAGCTGGAAGGCACCAAGAAAAAATACAAAATTACTAAATATCAAAGCAGCCAAATTACTATCAGGAAAACAAGTAAGTTCTTTTTCTCTACACCCCAAATCAAACAAATAGGTCTGTGGAGACGCAGCTGAGTCTCTAACTTCCAGTAAGAGATAAAACCCATTTGAGTCAATCCCAAAAATACCAGTTCAGGATCCAATCAATGGCACAAGAAAGCTAAATTCCAAGTATCACTCTCACATGACTTGCAGATAAATTGAGCTGCATAAAGATAATTACCTAGAAACTCCTCAGGCCAATTTAATTACTCACATAGCTGTCAGGCAAAGGCATCTCAAGATACTTCACCACAACTGGGTGATATAAACAGCTAAGAAGAAAAAGACTATGCAGAAAGCATAATAAGCATGGTTTGGGGGTTTTATTTTCAGTGGGAAGGCCTTCATCTGAGCTTATCATTGAAAGATATTACATGATATGAAAATAAATTTTACATTTGAAAAAAGGCCAGATCAGGCTTAAGGGAGTTGCTGTATCTAAACCTGCCTGCTGCTCTCACAGCACAGTGTGGGATTTCCCAACAGCAAATCACTGGCAGCCACCCTCAGCCTGCAGGCAGGGCTCCCTTGCCCCTCTTTTGACCCAGCTTCACTATCCACCTTCTCTACCAAAAGAACTGCTGATCAATTGTTACTGGAAGGCACACTGAGGATAGAATAACAGTCCAAAAACAGTACAGCAGTTTTGTATGTATGACACTGCAAATTCCATGTGTGTGTGTGATGTGACAATGTTCTTGTTTGTACCTAGGAGCCTTTTGGTGCTATCTTCTTATATGCCCTGAGAATAAGTGTAATTGATTTTCCTTTCAATACAACAGGTTATATCCTGGCTCACTGATGTTATCACCTTGCACGGGGTTTTCACCAGTTTCACATTCTCTCTCTCCAGAACACTAACACCAAACAATTTACTTGGTCATTTGCCCCACAGCAAAGGAGGAGCTGCTGCTAACTCCCTCCCTCCTTTTCCCAAGTTCTATGCTCTAGATGCACAGAGGATCTGTACATACTGAGACTGATTTTATCTGGTCCAGATCTTCAGTAACAGTGCAAAAAATTATTAAGCAAAACCAAATCTATCACTTCATATACTTAACAGAGTACAATAAATCTGATTGATACTTTTACAAAACTAAACTCAGCTTTCCCTTACATTGTTCTGTATGGAAAACATACAACAGCAGAGAGGTATATTGAAGTAAAAGTTCAGGGCATTGCAGAATAAATCCTTAAGGAGCTAACATATATGAGCACAACATGAGAAGAATTTTCCAGGTATAAATCAAGTTCCATCCAATGTTTATAAACAAAGTATTCTCTTTTATTGCACAGATTCCTTCACTTTTTGAAAAGTATTTTTCTATGTACCCAGGCTATCCCGAACAATTCTGCCCTATTAAAGCAGATTTCCAAAGTTGTACATCTTTCCAGCAATGCAGCCACACAATTCCTAAAAACAGACTTATGCCAGTGCAACATCCCACACTGCCATTTTATTCTCATTTTTCTATCTGAGGAAAGAACATTCAAAAAACCCCAAAAAAACTGAAAACACCAAGGAAAAACACAGAAAAAAAGAAAAAAAAAAAAAAAGAAAAAACAGCCCCCCCCCCAAAAAACACAGAAAAACAGAAAAAAGCCCACACAAACAAACAAACAAACAAACATGCCTACACAAGATTACAGAAAACCAAGTAATGTATTCTGGTCAAGGCCAAGTGTCCATCACATCCTTTTAAAAAGATTCTTTCACAGATCTAAGCAATAAATTCAGTATGAACAAAATGTACAAGATAACCTGGTTATAACAATTTTACTACTTCTCTGATTGGAATGCTTTTTACTAGTCAGAAACAGAAAATGCCATTTCATAGAAAAAGAAAGCTTTTCATTTTAAAATAATGATAATACAAACCAAGGGGAAATTTTCTTTTTTCCCAAGTCAAGGACAAAAAGCAATGTCTTTTCAATGGTGCAGCACACATTTGCAGTACAACAAGGTACTCCTGCTGTGAAGTACACCTGAGACCTTTCATGCTACACCTGCTTTGCAAAGAGAAGGAGTGAACCCCCTCTATAGTTGTCTATAACAACTGTGAGTCAGGTTGAAGTAGTTAATGAAACACAAAAGGTATGGCAAGGTAAGATCATTACAGGCAGTCATATATGTATGGGTGTGCTGCTGGAGAGGAAAAGGAAAATGCATTAGATGACAAGTTTCTTTCTCAAAAACTTACAGGCTAACTACTGGTTTGTCCGGGGATTTGGGTTTTGGTTTGTTTTTTTTTTTAATCCACTGAGATGAACAAGCCTCTCTGCAACTTTAAATCATTCCCTTGTTCCCTCCATCTACCTAAAATACTAATGGTTATGGAAAAAACTTTGAAAACATTATTTTAGGAAGAGAAGCACAGTGCTAAGTGACTCTTAAGGAACAAATAATTACAGTAATTTTAATCAGGTATGAAAAGCACCATTACAACAAAACTCTTTAAATTAGTGCTTTGATTCAATGCTCAGCAGCTAGGCTTACTAGAAAACTGCATCAATAACATCCTATAAGTCAGCTGATGAAAATTGCACTGATGAGAGAAGTTCAGCTGTCTGGGGAAGTGAAACAAGTAGAAGACATGAAACTCCAGGTTGTAACTAAAAGGGAGAGACTTGATGAAAATTTATGTCAATGGTGTTTTAGGATTCATCTATCTTACGGCAGTACCTTTCATATCCTGGACATTAAAGCCATTTGGAAACTTCACTGACTGCAAAAACAAACTCTCCAGTCATGTGGGTCTCCACAACAGCATACACTGGTTTTTATCCAGGCTGTGCCTTATGTACATTAACCATCCCCTAAAACCTTTGGAAAAGGGGAGGCAGCAGCCAAGGTTAAGAAGCACAGATACAGATGAACAGAAGTAGCAGAAAGGTTTCTTCAATCTTCGCATACACTTTGCCTCCTTCCTTCACAGCATCACCTCCCCCTCCCACACAGCTGTGTGCACAGAGAACTGGGGATTGCTCCTTCCCATCAGTTCTACCTCCCCTACACCAAACCAACTGCGCTAAAGTCTTGTGGACATCCCACCCCAGACTCCTGAGCTAACACCAAAGACACACCTCCCCTTCCCCAAGTAAATTCTTGGCAATCATCTTTCTGGAGGGGTGTCTCCTTTGTCCATTAGTTGTCAAACTTCATTTAAAAACAGAAAGCAAAATGTCCACGAATTTCAGCTGAAACCATTGGAAAGACAAATGAGGTGCAAATGCTGCAGAGATAAACCTTTAGAGTGACACTCCAGAAGCTTCTACATACATCCCAAGGAAGATTGAAGCTGAGGTTTAATGACAAAGATTGAAACACCCAACATCAACAACCACTCTGATGACCACAACGTGAAGATGTCACTCTACAGCCAGCAACATTTCACATTTGGTGTGTCACCATCATATTTTCTGAAAAATCCTCTTTGCCCAGTATTTCTCTCCTGGGAAGCTGAGCAGCTTCAGAGAAAAAGGAAAACAATATTATCTCATTTGCTTCTCCCATGTTTTGCTGCTTTGGAATGTGGTTGGAGATTGTTTATCCAACATGTGAATTGTTTTGATTTAATGACCAATTGTGGTCCAGCTGTGTTGGGGCTCTGGAGAGAGTCACAAGTTTTTCATTAGTATCTTGTTAAGCCTTCAGTAAGTATCCTTTCTCTATTCTTTAGTATAGTTTTAGTATAGCATTCTTTAATATAATATAATATAATATCACAAAATAATGAATTAGCATTCTAAGAACATGGGGTCAGATTCATCATTCCTTCCCACGAAGGGGGATCCCAAAAATACCACATTTGGTGCACAAGGAAATAGTATCCACATGCTATTGAGCAGCTATTTCTCATTTCAGGCATGAGAAATCAGAAGACCAAGAGGGATGTGGAAGGCACATCCAGTAGCCTGTGTTCAAAAGGAGTAAGATAAGCTTTTGTTAGGCACAAGCCTTGTCAGTTTGCAAGAGAATTGCAATGCTTGGTCCTGGCTGGCAAAGTTTAGTATGGGATAATTTTCTTTAGTGGCCTCAGTTCAGAAAAATTCTCCAACCAGACAGGGAACTGCATCTCCTGACAATCTACTCTATGGAGCAGAAATACAGATTTTCTGGGTTTATGCATTACACACACACATATGCATAGATATGCATGTGTCTGTACAAATAAAGAAATAAAAGTCTAAACTCAGTGTGAGTTAAGTGACTTTAAGAGTTTGTGTTCAAGACAAAAATCCAATTTCATATCCATCTGTCAAGCTGAATCTGCCCTGGCCATTTCAAAGGCTTGATGTTAGAAATGACAGCAGAAGCAATATCAAATTCTTAGTGTCTTCATTATCTCCAGTGAATGGCATTTCCATTTGGCACCCATCAAGAGCAGTGTGTGAGAAACACCACAGTTTCTCCACAGTTCAAGTGCTGGAAAATTTGACACTCATGTCCTAGAGGAAGGAAAGGGGCAGGCACAGTATTTGACTGTTGTAGGTACACTGAAATGTACAGGCTTGATTCTACAACTTGAACTTTCTCACACTTAGTGAACAACTACATAAATACTTCAGTATGGGAGAAAACATGTAACACTACTTGTTCAAAGATCATTTACCAGGAATCACTTGTCTTAGTGTTGTACATGAAGTGGCTGAAGCTACCTCAAAGTAACCATGATACACTCAATCTGCCAAATGAAAAGTATGATACTTAACATCAATCTGATCTTTCTTCTCCTTTTAATTTAAAGGGAATTTTCAGAGAATTGCAGAATATGCCGAGTTGGAAGGCACCCACAAAGATCATCACATACAAGTCCCAGCCCTGCACCACACCATTCCCAAGTGTCACTATGTGCCTGAGAGTGCTGTTCAAACATTTCTTGAGCTCTGTCAGGCTGGTGCTGTGGCCACATCCTTGGGAGCCTGCTCCAGTGCCCAACCACCCTCTGGGTGCAGAACCTTTTCCTAATAGCCACCCTAAACCTCCCCTGACATCACTTCAGACCATTCCACTACTGTAAAAATCCCATCAACCAACAGACTGCAGCTGAGCTGTGCTGAGTAGATGGGAGGAACATCTGTCCATGCCCCTCAAACTAGAGTTTCTGCCTGGGAGAATGAAGGTCATTTGAGCTGAGCTTCAAGACAGTCAGCAGCATTCCTCAGGGACTGGTTCCTCCCCATCCACGGCCCCAAAGGCAGCAGCCACAGCACAGCTGGGAATTGGGAATACCCCACAGACCCTGCATGCAGTGGTCCTGGGCAGGGGGGAGGAGAAAGAGCTGGAATTTCAGTAGTGGGAGGACACAAGTCCACAGGAAAACTGGCTTCAGCAGGGAGGTTTACCCATGGATAAACTGTTTCCCAAGTGACACAATGCTGTTACCATAGACAGAGTGAAACCACAAACCCCCAGCAACATAAGTTTCAAAATCAGAAACACTTATGTATACTCTCCTCCCTGTAAATTCAAGCAGCTGGGAGAAGGGTGGCAATCAACATCTAGATCTGCCCATATAGTTTAAGGTATCAGACTGGTTAGATGTTGTCTGATCTTTTTACAACTTCACATGGCAGCAACACAAAAGCAACCAACAAAGGTAACTTCTGCAGGTATTGTGGCAGCGCAGATTATTGTCTGAAAATAGTATGATTTAATTAGCAACAACCTAAAACCAAATGGTGGTGCTTTCCTATTTACCTCCCACCCTCTCCCTGCACAATCTGATACACAGAAGTACTTAAATGTGCATTTTAGATCATAGTTTTACTGCAGATTTTGCCAGGCCCGAACCCAGGGCTTGGATCATGGGATTTCATCATTTGCTGGGTTTGTGTCTTGAGTAAACTAAGGCAGCCACAGCTGAAGGGTGAGGAACAGCTTCTTGCAGCTGTCAGACATCCTGCTGAAAGTCACTGCCTTCACAGTGGGACAGGGGCCTCCAAAAGCACTCCTGCATCAAAGCCAGGGGGGCCTCCCCCTTCAACCACTGCAGCCACTTGTCCCTGCTCCCTTGAATCCCAACAGATTCATTTGCTGGCACTTCCTAATTTTCTTCAGAGACAATTGGAGGTATTACCACAAATCAGAACATGCATCTCAACCCAAATTTCCACATGGTTTCTCCCATCTTTCATCCATATCATATGCAGGAGGAACACCAGACTTCACTAAAAGGTCTGGATCTCCTTTGCCATGAGGTTACTGAGTGCTTCAAGCTGCAAGCCTGAACACATACCCAAATTTTGACCTTTTAAGTAATACCCAAGTGCTTTTTGTTCAGTGAAAGACCCTAAATAGATAATGTGTCAACTTTAGTGTATTTCTGCTACCCAAATAAAAATCTGCTAAAGCAATTCTTACATGAGAAACAGAGAAATTTCAAACAGCTTCCTGATTCTACCTAAAAATAAAACAAGTATTTTATTTAGTACATGGGCTTTTGAAGTCTTCAGAGTTTGCCAAACTATTCAATTTCTCATACTCAGGCAGAGAGATAAAAACTTATCAGGGCTGAGATGATCACAGGAAGAACCTGGCACAGGCTGCTCTCTTTCATATGCCCTCATGGTTTTTCTGCCAAAAATAAATACATCAGATCACAAATGCTAACTACTATACATTTTTCATTTAAAGGCAACGACCTTCTCTGCTCCAGTGTGCCATACAATATTTTTTTATCATTATGTAGTACCAAATTAGGTTATCTAGTTAGCAGTATCAGAAACTGAATAATTCCATTTGACCATTTGGATCCGTTTGACCTGACAGAGCTGTGGTCTGTCACATAAAATACATGAAATAGTTTAGAGATATATAATTCTGTTTGTAATTACACCAGGAAAGTGATAACCTAGTAAAAAGATAAAATTAGAGGCACAGGAGCACAGTGGGCACATGTACAAAGCTATCACCCAGCAACTACTCAGAATCCACATGATTTTTTGGTTTCCATTACTCTGAGAGTGAACTTCAGTTCTTTCGTTCCTAACAGAAACATACTCCTGAAATGCAGCCAGAAAATTACAGTGCCATGGTGCTTAAAACTCAGGCAAAATTACTGTGAAATATTTTTACTATGCAAACAATTATATCCACTATCAGTTTCACTAAGTGACCCTACTGCTGAAGACTCTACATCCAACAACAAACCGCAACAGAGGCAAGCCTAGAATAAACCTACTTAAAAATCAAATTTATTTGATTCTTCGAGTTATTTTAGAATACCAAAATACCTCAAAAATATTCATGTAAGCATTCTAATGTACATATTTGATGAAAGTTCATTAACCTTATTATTATGTTTGAGGATTATATTTCAGAGCATAGCTCTGAAGTCTGCAGAGTGTGTAAGACTGTGTGTGCAGAAGGAACAATGGATATTTTAACCAGGCAAACAAGGAACAAATAGGAACAAAACTATTTTTAATTACACAGAAAAGCAGACAGTCAGAAGTCATTTCCATGACTTGTTTTTCCATAAAGGACACACTGTGTGCTAATGCTGCACAGAAGCAATTCTTATGATCCTTGAAGTGAACTGTCCAACTGAGGAAATTCAGTTGATATTTCACTGGCAAATTTAGTTTCTCAAAGCAAGAGTGTCCGCAGTAAACAAAGAATTTCTCTAGTTATGATACTCCAATAAGCCAATATCTACTTCCACAAGCATAAAACCAAAGTGCTGACATTTATATATTTTATATAATTATATATATTTTTTTTTTTTAATCTGCAAAATGCCTCCTTTTATTTTAATAGCTCAAAAAAAGATCTTGACTGAAACACATTTGCCATGCTCATTTGGAAAGAATCAAAGCACAATTAACAGTATCTATATATTCTTAACTAAATAAGATGCTGAACACAGTGTAGAATTGAAAGTTCTATTTCTAATGTAAGATAATTAAGAAATGTTTTTCAAGGGAGCAAGAATAATGTAACAGGGATTTTTTTCCCTCACCCACTCCTAGCACATTGCAATCTTATTAATTTTAGTGTAGTGGTTTTTTTGTTTTACTTCAGAAAGGTCCTCAACTTGTATTTTTAGATTTTATTCTCACAGTGCTTCTCTACAATGTCCTTACATAATCAACCAGTGGTTGAGCTCATAAAGTAACCTGATTAATATACTTGCTCTGATTATTTATTGTAGAGTTTCTTGAAACCTTGTGATACTGCCAGGGAAAAATCACACTTGTATCAAGTAATTTCAGAGTACCATATTTTGTATCATCATATACAGGCTTTCATTTCAATTCCGGTATTTGTCAGAGAAGTTACCACACCAACAACCACACATTTTTAAAATTCCAGTTCAACAACAACTGAAAAAACAGTTTGTATCATTGACATTGTAGCATAAACATATTCTGCTCAGTCGTATGTCTTCCATTTTCCTTTTATTTGAACAAAGCAAGAAAAAAAGGAGAAAAAACTATCTTTTAAAATTACGCAGCTCAACTGGCAGATTAACAATGTAAAACAGTTGGGGAAAAAAGAGAAGTCTTTATCAAAATAGAAAGGGTTTATAGCAACAAGTAAATTCTTACAGAAATACTGAGATAAAATCAGTTTCTGTATATAAAACAACTGAACTGGAATTGAGTTTCACTCCCAAGTAAGATAAATTCATTTTCTAAAATCATTCTCAAAGTGTTGATCAATACAGGAACAGGACTGGGTTTGGAGAAAACTTTTCCATTTGAATTCCCAGCACTTGCTTTCTCCACAAGCTGTTTTGGCTTAGTGTTTGAACACTATTTTAATTCTCTCAGATATCTCTTTAAGTTTGAAAAAGGTTTTTACTTATACACAAACAATCAGAAAGTAGAATTTTGCTACAATCACTTAATTTCCCTTTTTCATAAAACAACTTTTCACTAGAAGGCAGAAATAAAATGACAATTCAAGATAAGCTATATTACATTTTTCCCATTATCTTGAGTCATACATGTACTTTTCTCTTGAAAGCCCAGGAAGAAAAACGAAAAGGAAAAATTTGGACATTTACATAATTAAAGTTTTAGGTTGGTTTGCAAAATTTACAATTTACTTCTGGTGAACTGACAAATTATTATTGAAAACACAAAGATTAGGTAAGTATACCTTGTTCAGAATAATTCTTCAGTTGTATTAACACAAAAAAGTTGCAAAGAAAAAAATTGCTAACTGCAGAGAATAGCAGTCTATGACTGTCATTGAAACCACCTCACAGAAGCCAGATTATGCAATGCCACACAAAGACATACCTTTTTATCATACACATCTTGCCAGTTTACTCCAGCAAAGAAACTATGACGCATGATTTCCTTGGCATCATCTGGGCCTCCACCAAGTCTAAAGAGAGTGGGGGAAAAAACACATATTAAACTTTTATAGAGAGATCAAGTTATTGCTACAGTTGGAAAAGTGACCATTTCTTTTTGACTATCTGGGGACAATTCTCACACAACTAATTTGAAGATTTCACTTGTTTAACATGAATTCTGGTGATCTCGAGAGAATTTGTGATAGCAAAAGTACACATGCCATGGTCTGTTCTTTTTGATTATTCCAACTACAGTGTTTGTCACTGTCCATGATGAGCTTTTTTAGTAATTCATTAATTTTAAAAACATACTTAAGTTTAGTTTGTTTGAAAGCCCAGCTAATGTTCTGGCATTATTAAAACCCAAACCAACCCAATAATGCTGATATAAAATTTTGCCAAAGACGTGCCAGGCACTGAATCAGTAATGACTTGTGCATCATTTTTATACAGTGTTCACTGCTGTTGCATCTGGGTGCTGTAACAATTAACCAATTACCATAAAATAGTCTCAATCTGAGTCAATTAGTATAAATTAATAAATTGTAGGCCTGCTGAGAAGGTTATTTAAAGGCCATTGTAAATAACCACACTACTCACTGTGGCCCATAGCTTGCCAAAGCCAGACTCTGTCTGGTAAATCGTCTTAGGAAGTGAATTTCACCTACTTTGGGTGAACTTGCCCAAGGTGGTTTGAGCTCACAGAAGGGGTCACTGGTGCCAAGAGAGGAGTGTCCTGCCCATACCTCTCTTCTCTCATTTGCATCTGCAGCATCATTCCCACTTGATGACTGTGAGCAGAATCAGCTCCCTAACCTGGAGAAAAACTAACCCTGACATGAGAACAGAAGAGAGAACTGGCCAATTTTTTGTTGCATTAACAAGTCCACTTTGACAAGCTGAGTGAGCTCCCTTGAGCTGCTGTTGTTGGTTGAGAAATAACTCCACATCCAAGGATAGGAACCTCTGTCCTTCTCAACAGCACATTGACTTCAGGACTGCTCAGCTCTCATCTAACTTCTCCCTGAGACCTGGGATCCTACTGCCCTAACAGAAGGAAGATGCAGCAGAAAAAAAGCTCCTCTTAACTAAATAAGCAGACCATACGTGCTAAATGTTAACAAGAAAAGAGACAAAAACAGTGTGTGTTTCATTAAAAAGAACTGCTAAAGATATAAAGACAAATTCTAAAGGCAAGCATTTCAGTAAGATAAATTCCTTTCTGAAGCATTTATTGTACAGAGGAATAATTTCCACAACCAAGAAGAAAGTCTGTTTTGGTAATACCCTGCTGCCAAATTTCAAAAATATTCTGGACTACTACGTCAGTCTTGCAATAACTGAGTGTCAAGTTATTCTAATTTTCAAGCTGTATTCCTCCTTGTTTCTCAACTACTCATTGTAAAATTCTCTACATCTTGGCAAAACATGGCAGCTAGCCTTCATTCTCCAGGCTTCTCTCAATATCTTCTAGCTGCTCACAAAGAAGCTGAGTTGTGTTAATCTCTGTGTTCCTCCCCTACTTAGCATTAACTAGCAGAAGAACTTGAATATAAATAAGCTTCTAAATATAAGTCTGTAATAAACACTACTGTCTGCAAAGATTAATTACAAGGAAGCATCTTTCCAATTCTAAAGGTTAATATATTTGATGGGTCAGACTGTTTGGAGGTTCAAAAGCATTAGGAGTTGCTACAGAAACACAGTTCTACTCTACTCTGCCTGTATGTGGCTGCCTGGTCACAGTTTGCTATTCCTGTATAGATAAGTTGAGCTGGAGCAGACAAACTGACCCCTTGTTCTGTCCTGCCTGCTGCACTTGGCTGCATCCTGGCAAATCCCTTGGAGAAACACAACCAGGCCTGTCCTGAGTGCCTGCAGGCAATGCCCACTACTCAAACCTTCTTGAGAACAAGCAGCAGCTGAAGGAGGACTAGAGAACAGGCAGGCAAAATCTGCTGCCCCAAAAACATGCCAAGAGCCTCACAAGAATGACAAAGATATTGGGGAGGGAAAAGGTACCTACAGACAAATCCCACTGATTTACAAAGTCAGAGATTTTGGAGCCATGGAAGACTGGACACTGCTGGTCCAGCACTGGAGCCACTGGAAAATGACTCTGCTGGGTAACTATCCCAGAAGGAAAAGCGCAACACAGGAGAGCACAGACAGCAGCTGGGTGACACTTGCTTTCAAACTGCTCCTTTAAATTTCAATCCAGTTGTATTATTTAACAAATTACTAGTTTAATGGTCTAATATGTGATTTATTTATATGCTCTAATAAATGTAGCTGTGCCTGCCTATGCAACTCTCCTGCCATCACCAGGAACAAGTGCTACAGTCCCCATGAGACACTGCAGTTAAGTTATACTGGGAAAAACAATTAAGATCTTTCGCTTTGTTCCAGTGCTCATTCTTAACCTGAAGAGATCCCCATGTTTGCTGTGAATGATTTAAAAAATTTGTCTTCCACAAGCTTTTCTTCCTTTTGCTGGTTAAATTCATATTGTAAATCGCTGTTGGAATGAAAAAATAAAAATTTAAGATTGTAGGGCTGTGTACAACCCTGTTCTGTGATTGACAGCTCCTTCAGCCAGGAAGACCATGCACCACAGACCTATTTTTACATTAGTCAGCACAATAGAGCATTTATTATGCCTGTGTGGCCAAATAATTTCACTTACCGTTTATTTGGATCCTTTATCAGTAGACCTGATAATAATGATTTTGCATCTGCAGATAGAGTTCGAGGAAATTTTATGTCCTCCATTAATATCAGTTCAAATAGTTTCTCATGATCTTGGTTGTAGAAGGGTAATCTTCCACACATCATCTCATACATGACAACTCCTAATCCCCACCAGTCCACTGCACGGCCATAGTCATTATCTTCTAACACCTGAGACAGAAACCAAAAGCATCTTTAAGACATAAACTCTTTCATACACCATCATTTCAGTCTGTTTGATGCATCTCTATATGAATGTGTTTCTGAGACTTTATTTCCAGAGTATGCTTAAAGGACTGTCAGAACCTGACCCAAAACTGCAGCACTGACTCACACACCTGAGCTCACTGAAATTCCAGGCTTGCCAGGCACTGCACCGCTAAAAGCAAAATTAAAATTTGACAATTAGCTGCTCCAAACAATCATGACTTCTTTATTTACCCTTTCCTATGTCCTCTGCCAGACCATTTATAGCAACCACAGCTTTAGGAAGAGACACTGTCTACAGGTACTACATGGGCACCAATGCCTCATTTAAAAGAGTGAAGCATCTGTTTGCTCAGTCACTTTCCTCTCTTTTACCCCACCTGTCTCAAGTCTCCAATTTAGAACCACCTTAATCTTATTGAGACAGTTTAGTTTCTTTATGATCTTTGTTTAGAGTCCTCAATGCCTTTCTCCTGCCGTTTCATTTCGTTCCATTACATAGTCCTAACAGCTGAACTGTGCCAATGCAAAAAACCACGGCAGTGTTTCTACAGTACTTTATTACAAAACAAAGCTTATAGGGTATTATACAAACACAGAAACTGGTCAAGTTTATACAATTTGTTAACATAATGTCACCAATGTTATGTACCTAAAAACAACTTATTCCACAGCCCTTCTCCCAGCAGTGCCAGAGAATTGGAATTAGAAATTTAAGCAGTGTATCTTGACCTTAATACACCTTCATATTAAATTGCGTATTAAATTGCATGGAGACAACATAACAGCAGCATTCAGCCATAGAAATTACAAGCAATAAGAAAATTGAAGGCTACTGGATATTTCATTCCAATTTCTATAAATTTCTCATAGATCATGCCTCTTCATACAAAAAAAGATGAAACAGAAGTCAAGAAATCTTAAAACAGGAGGCATTACAATTGTGTGTGTCAAATAGCCAATATTTGCTGCACAAGAGCTATCAAAAACTTTAAAGCAAGAAACAAAAAACCTTAAAACAATAACAAACAGAAAAATCAAAGAAATGCAACTAATACAGTAGAAATGCATTTGTAAAGAATTTAAATAATTCTTTATAGAGAATTGTTACTGTATCACAGAAGGCTAATTCTGAAAGGCAGCACCCAATGACTGATTTTATAAAAAAGAACAAACCAACAACAAATCAATCCCCAGAAAACAAGATACTTTTTACAACCATCACAAAGAGCTCCTCCAGATTCAAGCTGTAAGCAGACATACAGAAACAGTAATTTAGATACTCGGTAGTGAAAGTAAACCTTTCAGTCTTTAAAGAATAAGGCAACCTCTACAAGATCAGAAATAACTTTATCCATAAGCAGGTTATCTTGCAATTGTCTAAAATGTGTAATAGAGGGGTGTTGAGCTCATTTAGGTGCCTCTCCTCTTGCTCCCCCAGTAAACCCAAGCCTGCTCTCAAGAATCTGGGATGGCTGTTAGCAGAAGCAACATGCAGTCTGACCCACTATGGCAATTTTGGAAAATGTTTGGAAATCCCACAGTAATGAATGCATTCATACTGCTACTTTTCACTGTCCTTAAGGATTAGTAGCAGAAACATGAGGAAAAGAAGTATATTAAAAATCCTTCTTGAGTATATAAGATTAAAAAATCATAAATATTAACACATTAACACATATGATTTACAACTGTGCCAAAACAAACAGACTCATTACATCATTGATATTTCCAAATAGAGAGTGAAATTTTGGAAAGTGTAAAATACAACAAATTATCTGAATAAGTACATATGACAAAACTAACTAAAATAACTCTTGCATTTTAAAATTAATTAAATGTTTTATGAGTTGGAGCATATTGCAAGCTATTTGCCGAAAAACTGTATATATAAAATCTGTGACTCTTTTCTTTAAATCACCACTTCTTCTGCCACAGAATAAAAGCATTATATATTTTTCTGCTATAGCTATTAGCACTGTTACTGTTTTTCTCATCTGTACAGTTAGTCTTTTCTTTGGAAGTTAGCAAAACACATAAAATTGTGAGACAGTGGTAGATCCTTTTCATGAATAAGTTGAGGTGTGGTTTGCATGTGTGGTTTATAAAAGAAGGCAGCAGGAAAATAAAACATATCATTCTCTGAACAAGGCACATCACATGGCCAATAGCTTGAGCAAATTGTATTTGCAGCTTTGCGTAATTTATGCAGGACTTTACCTAATAATAATAAAAAGTATGAACAACCTTTTGCTGCATTCCCACAACAGCAACAAAGCAGTGGTACAAAGAAAGAGCCAAATGTGATTTTTAACCTCTTTTTACATAAAATCATAAAAAAGCATAAAAGCTGGATTAACTGCCTCCCAAACCCACATATCACCAGCCGGGTTCTCATCCCCAGCTGGCAAAACTGGCAACTCTTTATTTTTGTTTAAATACCTGGTTTACAGCCAGCCAGACAAGCAAGAGCATCAAAATGGTTTCATTTAGGCAAAAGGAAAACAGCCTGAAAATAGTGTAAATAAAGCAAAATACATATCAACTTATTTTAATATAAATGTAATAAAATTGTGCATAATGCATTCACAGGGAAGATGAATTATTATTTCCTTTAAGTAATTTCAAATCTTCATGGTGTTTAGAAACAGGTTTTGTAGACTGTATCAAATCAATATAAGTGAAGTGCTGGAGTCCAGCAGCTCCTACAAGCAAATCTATGCAGCTAGGGCAGGAAGGAGAACATGTCTGTACACACTGCCCTAGCATTACAGAATCCTTTCCAAACAGTCCTTGGATTTGAGGGATTTGATTTTAATCACACTGAACACAGATCAAGAAATTTTCAACTCAGTGCTAAAATGAACATGACATGTAGCTGCAGTCTTTGTACCTACAAACAAGTCAATCTTCTGCCCACCATGAAGGAGACACCTGCTTTTAGAAAAGTCTCCTTTGGTTGTGAGGAGTGATTCTGCTGTCTCTCTGGTAGCTGTGGGATATCCTTGTATATGTGGGGTACCAGTCTGAGCACCTGGCCAGACACAGACACCATGGAGAGTTTGATCTTGGATTCTGTGTGCTGCCCTTAAGAGCTGCCTCCACCACTAGCCAATGCTTGTCCCTGGCTATAAGGACCCTCAAACCTATTTTTAAGCAAATGCCCTGCACTAACAACCCAATCCCTTCATGGTCACAGCAGGACAGGCAGCAGGACCACCAAAATCACTGTAGAGGGCACAAGGTCTGTACCTGCTCTAAAGCAATTGATATTTCCTGGCAGTACAACACAAGGATCACACAGAACTCATGAGCACAGAAAGAGCATCTACACTGACTACATACTCAAGTCAGATGCGTTTCCACACAGTAAACATGGACTTACTTGTTTTCTTCCACAAAATTTGTTTAAATAGTCAGATCATTCAAATTTACGATTTCCCTTCCTTCATCCTCCTCACATACATGGGGTGCCAAAATCCAAGCCAAGATCTAGGAGAGGTCTTAGGAGACAAGAGCTCCAGCACAATGTGACATCAGTGTGTGGAGAACATTTACTCCTGACATAATCACTGTACCCAGGTGACTTCCCATCACTGAGCAAAGCAGGTGGACTGACTGCAGTTCAGTCTGGATGATACCACAGATCATGGGAAATAAAAAATTGTCATCATTTTACAACCTGGGGAAATCTTACTCCAGTTGTTTTCAGAGCTCTAGTTCAACAACTGGCTCTTTCAGAGGCAATGCCAGCCTAATCCAGGCTCTTGTTTCTGTTCTCTCACCACAGCTTCCCTTACCTTGTCAAAACTATGCAACACACCACATCAGACATCAGAAAATAAATGGGGAAAAGGTTTCACCCTAGATTATTTTTCACCTGAATCAAGTTTTCTGCCCTAAGCAACTCAATTGCCATGAGAACAGTTGCAGTAGCACAAGTGAGAACATGGGCAGCATCAGGTGTGGCATTGCTGCAGAAAGAAATGCTTGCCAATCTGTACCCCAAAGTTACACTGGCACAGAAGTTGCAGAGCCTCTGCCAGCTTTCCCTGCACACACAGACAGCTGTAACAGCTGTGCTCACTTAGGGTGAAGATTGAGGCCCTGCTCCTCTTCCCAACCTGCATTTCTCTAAAGCCTCCAGCAGCATAACAGGGTTCCAAAGAGGGCACAAACTCATTGCTGCACTGAAAGCAGAACAGCTTTACAGGCATTGCAGCTCCTCTAGCTCACACCTACGCCTGCAGAGCAAGGACACAGCCTGGGTTTATACAGGTGCTTTTTAAAAACACTGCAGAGGTGCCACTGAAGTTTGCATTTTCTCTTCTTATATAAATATGCAAAAGGTTAAGTAATACACACACTTTCTAACAAGCAAGAAACATTAGCCGAGCATCAGCTGCCAGGCATTTGCCGGTACTTCAGTGCTTTTATGGATCTTTCAGAGGCTTTGGACAACATTAGAGCTTCAGCTAAGGGAGAGCTGTTTATTCACCTTAAAATTTTCATTTGTATTGGGCTCAAAACGCCATAATACAAATTTAAATTTTTTCAATTTATTGATATAGCAATAAACAAGGGAAAACAAAGTATTCTGTAGTGATTCCCACTGTCCCTGCACACCTTGGGGTTTCTGGAGAGCATCTCTGGCACTGACCAAATATATAATGGGACAGTGCTTTGTACACAGAGCAGCCTGTAAAGCCCTATGTTCAAAATAAACAATTCAGTTCACAGACCAACCTTTGCCTTTGTGATGATTAAGACAACACAAACACTCTGCAGGACTGGTAAGACCACGGTAATTCAGTAATGTTTTTCCCTTACACATAATAATTCTCTTTTTTTGGCAAGCAATTACAGATCAATGAAGAAAAATACTCTTGTATTTACATTTATTGACCAAAAAATGCACGATCTTATCTATTCGCCAATACTGAGAAGCACACTGTCTTGTACTT